TACATATATATATATATACACACTCAATGCACTATATAGTGAGAAAATAATTAGAAGACCTTAGGAGAAAAACATACAAAGCAAGAAATTTATGACAGAGAGACATGAGATTCAATATATGTTCCATATGTAAAACAGAAAATGTAAACTGCACTAAAAATAGACAACCACAGCTATTTCATAGTTTTAATGCAATTTTTAATTATATTTTCCTAATGAGTTGTAAAATATTTTCATTCAAATACCATAAACATAACAGCTTAATTAAAGTGAGATCATTAATTAGAATTTGAACCTACAAGGTGACAAGTTTGCATTATTTATGAGAATCATATCGCAACATGCACTGGTGTTAATCACCATGCAGTACACTTCACATTTATATAATTTTTACTTAAAATTATGCCACAATAAAACTGATAAAGCCAGGAAATTAAAAATTACCCTAATTTTTTAGTCAGGAGTGTCAATTTATAATCGTTACATTTGTTTAAAAATATATATGGCCGGGCATGGTGGCGCATGCCTTTAACCCCAGCACTCGGGAGGCAGAGGCAGGCAGATCTCTGTGAGTTCAAGGCCACCCTGGTCTACATCATGAGTTCCAGGACAGCTGGGCTACAGAGAGACTCTGTCTCAAAAAGACCAAAAAAAAAAAGTATATATGATCAGTTGTTTTAATTTAATTTTAGAAACTTGAAAGATACTTCTAGATTGCATAATGTTGGCTGTCTTTGTACATTATTTTCAACTTGTTTAAAATTCATATCATTATTTAAGGCATCATGAGTTTTGTTTTGTTTTGTTTTTTAACAAATGTGAGATGAGTGCATGGAGACAGGATATAAGAACTACCTTTCAACACTACCTGTGAAAACACAGGGAAAATAAGTGGTAACTTAAAATTGTCTTAAGACTGTTTCCATAAAAATGTTCACATAAACAATGGGAATTAATGTCTTGCAGTTCTCTATGCTTGAAGTCCAAAGTGAGGAAATAGCTGTGATTGTTGGGTCCTTGGTGATGTTCCTCTTCATCTTTCTCTTTTCCTAAGCTCATCAATCCTATCAGGAATGACACCCTGTGCCTTGTTTTACCTTAATCATCCACCAAAAGCCTCCCTCTCCAAGCATCATGCCATTTAGGGTTAGGGTTTCAAAGTATGAAATTTAGAGGAACAGATCCACTTATAGCACATAACAGTATTTTTAAATGAGAATATAAGGGCTGGATAGATCTCTCAATAGATAAGAGCATTTGCTCTGTTAGCGTAAGCGCCTAAGTTCAAATTCCCAGTACGTATGTAAAACGTCAGGCAGAATTGCCTGTGCCCATAACCCCTAAGCACTGAGGAAGAAAACAAGCAGTTCACTAAAGCTCATTGGCAAGCCTGAATGACAAGCTTCTCATACAGTGAGAGACCCTGTCTCAACATATTGAGGCACAGAGGGATAGAGGTAGATACCTGATGCCTGCTCTGGTCTTGATGGATGTACACTCCCACACTGTGTGTATATACCACACACAAAAACAAAGCATTACTTAGACAGAAAAGTGAGTATACAGTAGTATACATTGATAGTAATGGACAGAAGTTTACAATGCTTGTCTCATAGTGGGTTCTCCAAAAATGTTGAGTTGAAGCAATTAAAAAAATATTATTTATTATTTTATGTGTATGAGTATATTAACTGCATGTATGTGAGTGCACCCGTGTCGTGCAGTGGAGGTAAGTACAGTTCATAGTTGCCATGCGGGTGCTGGAAATCAAACCCTGGTCCTCAGCAAGAGCACTTAGTGCTCTTAACCACTGAGCCATCTCTCCAGACCTGAGTTGAAGCAATTTAAGAAGTTTTAGTATACAGCCACTCTTCCCAACCAACTGTATGTAATTTGGCGGTAATCACACATGGTCTCCTGGAATTCTGGAGGGCTGAAGACTACAATCTGGGGAAGGCTAGGAAGAAAGGCTTGACTCATGCTGGGTAAAGGCTTTCCAGTGTGCATACCCTCAGGTCATTCATACAAGTCAACAACCCCTCAGTTATCTCTGTTAAGTAGCTCAGTAAATTCATTGATTCCCCAGTAAAACTTTAATCAAACATTGGCTTGACACTAGAACCTTAAAAGGGGATAAGCATTGCTTAGTATCCCCAGGAAAATAATTCTCACAATAGATGGTAAATTTATTTGTTAATGTTATTATGTCTCAT